GAATTGTTTTCAGTATTAGACTACTATGAATTAAACTGCTAAAAATATTTGTACACAAATTCACACTAAAAATTGTATTTTTGTATAACGTAATATATAATGTAATGTGTAATGTGCAAAAAAATTGCATGTGATTTCTGTGTGAATATAAGTCTTTACTCTTTTGGGTTAAATAAGAGTGTAATTCCTGGATTGTATATTTAGCATGTTTAGTTTTATCATACAGTGTTTTTCTATAGTGGCTCTTTTTACTTTCCCTAGAAATGTATAGGTGATTCAAATTCTCCAAATTTTTTTTACCAGCTTTGATGTTATCACTTTTTTTTTTATTTTAGCCATTTTGATGGGGTGTAGCAAATATCTGTGGGTGTGTGTGTTTAGTAATTTAGAATTCACTTTTGTAAAAACATGTTGACAAATATTAAATGTTATATTTGCATTTTGAACATTTTAACATATGTAAAACACAAAAGAACCAGTATTAATACTGGCACAAACTTAGATATTGACAATTATATATTTTATAGAAAGGAACTTTCAAAGTTTTATCAATGCTTACAACATATACTATTATTTCTTACCAAAATCTTCATGAAACTTAAAAGGCTGGCATTAAACAATAGTTATTTCTTTTCTTGACTATTCTAAAACATGCTAGTTTGGTTTAATCTTCAAACTTTCAGGACGTGAAAGATACACAAAATAGAGTATTTTGGTCATAGCAATGGGGAAAAAACTTGATTTAGACAGTATACAATGTCAAGCTTTATCCTGTTTCTTTTTTCTTTTTTAAGCAGCCCAACGATGGGGGCAGGAGTGTTAGTACAATACAGAAAATATAGGGAGTACAAAATGGCACTTAACATTAATGTCACTAATTATCTCATTAGGGTAGTAACTAAGAATATCATTAATTTTTGCATTATTTGCTTTTCTTTAAAACGTAAATAAAAGCCATTTCCTTGAACTTGAGGTATACACAATACACAATCTTAAGCAAATTATTTTTTTTGCGAGTAACATCATATTTTAAAATATTGGAAACTATCTGTGCTGAATTGTATTTTGACTTATAGAAAAAGGCAAGAACAATCAACAGGAAGGGTTGAACTATAATAAAGCTCTTAAAAGTTCAAAACATCTGCTTCCCCCTTTGTACTTACCACAGGCTCTACAAGGTCCTAGAGGACTCACTACGGGGAAAAATGTCAATCACAGCTTTAACAATGTACTTTGGAAGAAACTAAGGAGGAAACAAATTGGAAGGTGAGACTTCATCTTTGTTTTCAAATAAGTGGCCTGAATTTTTCTTCTTATAGAAAAAAAAATTAAAGCACCTTATAAATGTATCTAAACCATTAATTTTTGCAGCTTTCAGGTTTAGTCCAGCTCTTTGTTTATGCAAAATCTATGAGAAGCCATCATAAAAATCATCTAATCTTAAATCGTGACATCATCCATTCAAGTCCTTGGCATAATCCCTCACCATTAAGAGCAGAGCATGCCTGGATTTGCCACTGGTCAATAGAAGTTATCTTCAAAATCTGGCAGATTATGGCTAGTCATACATCTTGTTTGTAATCAAAAAAATCAGCAATCAGGCTTTCCGTAGTCCTCATGCCCTAACATATTGTACAGTTGTCTAGTCATAGAATTCTTTTCCTGGGTGTGTACTTTCCTTGTTAATGTGTTTCAGGAAGAAGGAAGAGATTCTTGGCCACCAATATCCCACGTTAGGAAATATGCATTATTTAATCACGATCTCTTCTACTTATTTCCTATTGTAGAGGCTGCATATACAATTTCGTTCATAGAAAATTGATAAAGGATGGTAGTTTTCTTTGCAATATCCAACCGAGCAGTGATAACTTTGTGCTCCTAAATGTTTGCACCATCTGCATCCTGGTAAAGAGAATTTCCATTCTCGGGCGGCAAACCCCCTTCAGCCCTCCGGGGTCGCCTGGCTTCTCTTGGCTCAGGCTGAGAGGAAGAGGGACGTGCTGGAGCCTCCAAGCTTCTGCCTCTGCGGTTTCTGCAGCCCCTATGTTGGCGGTCGGCCACCTTCCAGGAAACCGGAGGGAAACTCGGGATCCTGCCATTGCCGCGCGACCACCACCCCACCGGTTACACCGCTCACTGCGGCACACGACAACCCACCTCTGCCACCCACGCGCGGCCGCGCGCGGCAATTCCACTACGGTCCTCTGCACCTGCAGCGGAGACGCAGCCCCCAGTGGCTGCCGCACGCGGCGCTCCCACCCCCACCCCCCATCCTTGCCGCCGCCGCTGCAGCTGCCGCGCGCGTAACCGCCTCCGCCTTGCCCCGCAGCTGCTGTGCCTGCCGCCCTGCCGCCCAGTCGCCCTGCTGCAGCCGCTGCCTGTAGCACTTGCCTAACTCGGAAAAGGCCTCCACGTTGTCTGTGATGATCCTCGCGGGCCACCATCCACTCCTAGCTCCGTGGCTGTGGTAGAGGCAACCGCGCAGAAGGGTCTCATGTTTATAAGTCACATTTCTGCAGTGGTTAATGATGTTGAAAAGCTTCTCATACAGTTTTCTGTCATCTATCTATCTTCAGTGAAATACCTAGTTGGATTTTTTTTTTTTTTAAATTTTTGAGTTTTAAGAGTTCTTTATTCACTCGAGATACCGGTCCTGTGCCAAATGTATGGCTTGGAAATATTTTTTTTCCTAGTATATACCTTTCCTTTCCGGTATTTTTACAGTGTTTTATATAGCAAAAGTTTTTAATTTGGGGAAATCTAATTTATTTAAAAATATTTGGAACATGCCACTGGTTTTAAAACTAAAAAAATTCTGTCCAGCCTTAGTTCCAAAAGATTTTCTGTTTCTTCTTTTCCCTAACAGTTGTGAGCATTACACGTTGCATTTGAATCCATTATTCACTTCAAATTAATTAATTTTTGCATAAGAGACTATGTTTAGTGTTTAGGGTGGTTATGACCTAGCGTTTAGGGTGTTTTGTTTCATTGATTAGGTTTTGTATGGTTCTTTCTTTTCGTTTGTTTGTCTATGGGTGTCCAATTTCTCCAGCACCACTTGCTTATAGTTCCTTGCTTCCTGCATTGAATTGCCTTTCAACCTTGGTGGAAAAAATAGACATATTTGAATGGACCAATTCTTTAAGGGTCTTCTGTGTTATTGACCTGTGAATCCCTCCACCAATATTACTGTTGTGATTATTAACACAGTGTAAGCTTTAGTGTCACATACCGTGATAGTTCCTACATCTTTTTTCCAAGGTATTTTAATCATTCTAGGCACTGAACCTTACCACGTAAATTTTAGAAAAAGCTCATCTATCTATAAAGGACCCACAGAGAATTTGGACAAGAATTGCATTAAACCTATAGATGAATTTAGAATCGACATCTTTACTAAATTGAGTCTTTTAATTCAAGAACGCATTGTCTTTCCATGCAGTTCTTTGATTTCATTAGTATTTTTTTAATTTATAAATCCTTTATGGAAGGGACCATGTGAAAAGGAATTTAACTGGCCTCAAATCTGATGCATAATTATTCCAGACCCCTCCCCCATGATAGAGACCCCTCAACACCGGAAAGCTGACAGAAGCTGACTGACGCCTCGCTGTGAACTATGGGATGAGCCATTCAGGTGTAGGGGACGCTGCGGAGACTCTCGGCTCAGTTAGCCCCTCACATTCCTGTTTCCACCCCCCAGCACGGTATGCCAAATGGACCCTCCCAGCCTATGCCCCTCTGGCTTTAGTACAAAGCTCCGTCCGAATCCAACAGTTGTTCCAGTGTTTTCCTGGAGCCACCAGGACCACTGGTTCTCCGGGGCTTCTCTGAGCACCCAACTGATTGCTGCATCCGCCTCCTTGAGGAGCAATTTGCCTCTAGCTTGCTTGGTCGGAACCTTGGGGGAGAGGTAAAGTATTTTCCGCCTTTTTCCTTTTTTTTTTTTTTTTTTTTTGCAGGGCTTTTGCTGGGGGACTCGGAGGTAAAGTGTTTCGGGCAAACCAGCCTGGGTTGTTGCTGGGTAGTAATCAGTTGGCGAGTTGTCCCGGGAGTGGGCACAATCCGTAGATGTCCTTTGTAATGATTGGGAATGTACCAAACTGGGCTTTCAGACCTCTGCGAGCTCCCAAGGTCTCGGTCGACCCCTTTCAGCCCTCCTACCGACCGTACCCTGGATGGCGCATCTCGACTGTACTGATTGGTGTCACTCATATTTGGCAATCAGAAACTAGCAATTTCTAAAACAGAAGAAAGGTTTGATAAATAAGTATGCTCGCGCGTATACCAAAGACTTAACAAGTGTTCATTGTTACAGACTCTAGTTCCGTGCTCGGGAAATGAGAGTGGCGTAGTGTAGTGGGAGAGAAAATTAAAATGGGTGTGAGAGAGTGTGGCCGGCCACCAGAAAAGTAAGGCGTCATGCATTTTCTCTGACCCGTGAGTACAGCGCACTGAGGTCTACCTGACCGCGCGGTGTGCGCGCCTCTCCAGGTACCTCGCTGGACTCTGCGCACTTCACTTTGCAGTGGTCTGAATGTTAGCGGTCACCTGCATATTTCACGGCTGTCTCAGCTCCGCCTACAGTCGAGGAATTGAGGTTTGGGTGTTTCTCCAAAAGCTACGGTAAGGATTAAGTAAAACAATTTAAGGAGAAAACAAAAGCTAGATCTTTGTACTTTAGGTGCAAAATAGGTCCTCTATATATTCCTTGCAGGTTCGACAGCCCACACCAACCCAAGTCCCCGTTTATAATGTGTTTGTTTGCCCCCAAAACAGGACTGGGAATTTTCTTCCTGCAGTGAGCACTTCTGAGTGCAAAACAGCACAGAGTGAACCTTCCCCAGGGTCCCAGTGGAGCAGCTGATTAGACTTTCTGACACTCATATCTATCTATCTCTCTCTCTCTCTCTCCCCCCCCCCCCGCCCCCCCCCCCCCCCCTTCCCCACCCTCCCCTGCCCCTTCCTAGGCTTCTCCCACCAGCGGCTAAATTGCAACAATGGGCAATTCCTGCTTTGGCTTCAAGGAACGTGTGCTGCAGCGCCTGCAGCTTCTGCCTGCCCTGCTGATAATTCGCATCTTTCTGCCACACCGAAAGGTCAAAGATTTCCGTGTGGTGGTAGTCGGCTCCGCTGGAGTGGGCAAGAGCACCTTGGTACAGAGGTGGGTGCGCGGCACCTTTCGCGATTCATATTTGCCGACGATTGAAGATACCTATCGCCAGCTAGTGGGCGGCCAGCGCCGCATGGGCGTGCTGCAAATCACCGATGCCACCGGCGGCCAGCGCTATCCTGGTCTGAAGCGCATGGCCATTGCCAGGGGCCATGCCTTTATCTTGGTCTACTCAGTCACCAGGAAGGAAACCCTCGAGGAGTTGAAGCCCTTCTATGAGCTGATCCGCGAGATCAAAGGAAGCAACCTGCATAAGTTCCCTATTGTGCTGGTGGGCAACAGAAATGATGAAAGCCCCAGAGAGCTGGCCCTGGCGGATGGTGCTGCCTGCGCGCAGGAGTGGAATTGCGCCTTCATGGAGACCTCGGCCAAGGAAGACATCAACGTCCAAGAGCTGTTCCGCATGCTTCTGTACCACAACAACAAGCCCACTACCTGCCTGGAGAAGAAATCCCGAATGACCCGGGCCATCGAGAAGATGCTTGACAAGTACATGGTCATGTGAGCCCCGACCTCCGCAGCCCAACCTTCTTATCCTGTAGTGTGCAGAAAACATGGACTAATCCCAGTGTAATGTGTCCCATGTGCATCATTGATTTCTGTGCTGTGACCTGGACTGTAACAACTAGACATCAATAAATGTACACAAGTTGATAACTTTTATTTTTCCCAGGCAAGAGAATTCAATTATGAAAGCATTGGTACTTGAGCAGGAGGAGGGAAAAATAAAAAGAAGCACCACGCATTAAAAATAAGACTGTAACTGTTGTAACTGTTATTGTGTATTATTTGTAAACATTTCAAGTCCCATAAATGCCTAATCATATCTTTCCATTGTGTATATAATCATTAAGAAATGTGTTTTGCAACAAAAGCCTTGGCAAATTGCTGTGAGTCTGGATATACTGAACATGAAAAAAAAAATGAATATTCTGTAGTTGATCATTGAGACTGGGAACAGAGAAAATTGTAAAAGTGAAACTTGCTCCTCAAAGATGTGCTGATTGTCATTTACAAATGTTCAGATAAACTACATAGCAATTTTAAAAATGTGCAAAAATTCCTTGACTTAATAAAGCTTTTCGTGTATGCAACTGGCTGTAAGAATTTCTTTCTCAACAGAAAAGTGATCATTGCATTAAAATTTAAACCACATCTGTTAAAGGTTTCTAATAAGAACTTCACACATGAATGCCTCTGCCCTCTTGAATTAGCTACTGGGAGAGGGAGGGGTTGAAGGGGGTCCCTGCAGGGCAAAGCTTTTTTGTATCCAAAACCTTCCCTGGACTGATACCCAGAACATCTTGAAGAAGATTCTCACTATGTTGCTGTCTCAGAGGAAGCAGATGCAAAGCAAACCTCAGTGTGCTGTTGCCTCAAAAGTCTTTGCTCAGGAAATATTGACTATAGAGAATGGGGAGGAAGATGGGGGTTGGAGGGAGGAATGGGCGGGATTTGAAAATTTTCTGCAGAAGAGAGCTTTAGGAATAATTACATTGGGATAAAATTTTGGGAGGGAATACATAAATACACGTATCTTTGGTAAGCTTTTTTTTTTTTTTCCAGTGTGGGGGAGGTGAAAGAGATGCTCTTTATCTTGTGAATTTTTTTCACACTATTATTGAACTAATAGCTATTGAACAATTTCTGAATAGAAACACATAATTCTCTATAATGGGAAGCAGCACACTGTTGGGAAGGACTCATAAACATCTATTTCATAGTAGTATACACAGAGTGACAGTTTTGAGCTTAGAAAATTTGTTTAGTGACTTGTTTTCAAATAATCAATTGTTTAAGGTTTTCCCCATTCACTTTCTTAGCAATTATTCTCAACTACTAGAAATTACCTAAGTGACTCTACCTCATTGGTTTTTATGAACTCTATAAAAAAAAAATTCTTACCTAAAGCCCTTAATATAGTAACTCCATTTCTAAAATAAAATACTCAAATTGGCTATTTTCCATGAAAACTATTGCATTCGTTGTTGCCCTTTATAGATGAACAAAGGGATTACTAAGGATTTGAGTGGCAAATACTAACCTTTGAAAAGGACACATTTTTTAATATTACAGATAATGCTTAATAAAAATAAGAATAAAAATTTTAAGATGCCAAATATTAACAGTCAACATGCCAATGTTTCTATACTCTAGAAAACATTGCTGTAATCTTTCTCCATGTTCTACACTATATTCTTTAATCCTCACGACCCCATGAGGTGGGTACTGTTAATGCCTGTTTTGCAGTTGGGGACACTGATAAATGTCAAAGAACTAGCAAGCAACAGAGCTAGGAATTGAAGCCAAGTGTTCTGCTGTAAGAGTCAGTGTTCTTGCCCACTGTAGTGTCCATTCATCCCTCAGTATTAACAGGGGATTGGTTCCAGGATCCCAACACACACCCCACAGGTGCTAAAATTCATGGGTGCTCAAGTCTCATATGTAAATAGCATAGTATTTGCACATCACCTACATACATCTTCCTATAAGCTTTAAATTGTCTCTAGATTACTTGTAATATCTAATACAATGTAAATGCTGGGTAAGTAGTTGTTATACTGTACCATGGAGGAATACTGGCAAGAAAAGAAGTATTCATGTTCAGCGAAGTTTTGATTTTTCTCCATCCTATGCAGCATGCACAGTGGATCCTGTAGAAGTCACAAACCATAGGTTGCTGGGAGGGAGTACTTCCCAAGATGATTAGTCAAAGGATGAATTAGCTCACTTCTCATTTGTATTGTACAAGGGGGGTGATCAAGCTTCCTCAGACCTTCTCTAGAATATTATATGGGAGACCAATAGACAAATCAACAATTCAACATGGTTAGGGTGTTTTAGAAACAGGAACGATAAGCACTTTACACAAGGAGTTGGAAAAGTTTTCTCCAAAGAGATGATATAACCTAAATCATTAGGTCTAGTACTGGCTTAAACAGGGTGCTGTTGGTGAGGAAAAGAAAGGGCAATGTTTCCGGCAGACAACAGTGAACAAAGTCCTGACGAAATGTGTGAGCCTGAGAGATAACGGCATGTTATCAGAAATGGATGAAGCAAATTGCAGAAGATGAGCCTGAACAGAGTTTAGCATTCATCCTTTAGAGGTAATGGGAAATGACCAAAGAATTGAGACAGACCTGATTATATCTGTATTTAAAAAAAAAAAAAAAAAAAAAAAAAAACACCACCACCACTCTGGGACCTCTGTGGAAAGGGTCCTGAAGAAAGTCAGGTAGGCAAATTAGATAACTGTCAGAATGTTCCAGGAATGAGATTTGAGTAAATGCTCTAATCACTGCCAGAGGACATGGAGACAAAGGGACAAATTTGATAACTATTTAGCAAGTAGAATGGCTGGAGCTTCATCAAGTGTTGGAATTTGGAAGAAAGGGAGAAAATAAAATGACTGCTATGTTTCTAAATGGGATTCCTGGGTGAGTCATAGGGTCATTAACAAAGACCAGAAGTGCAGAAAAAAAGAGAGAATTTGGGTGAATATCTACTTGCACATGCCCCTATGAACAGTAAGTTACATTTTTGATAACATAATTATAAGGTGCTTATAGGATGGGCAGATAAAGGTTTCCAGTAGGAACTGGACTGGGATTAGGGACTGGAGAATGAATTGTGAGTTATTATTAGCATACAGCTGATGGCAAGGCTGGAGAGAGAGAGAAGAGGGGGCAAGATCAAAGAATTTAGGAGAAAAATCCTAAGGAGCAGAAGTATTCAGAAAACTACTAACAAAGAGGAAACTGTGAAGGACACTGTGAAGTGATCAAAAGATAGGAGGAGACATGATGCACAGTAGTCAATGCTGAGAAAGAGAATTTAAGAAAAAAGTGTATGTAAAAGACAATTCAAAGACTATGAAGAACAAGTGGGCATTAGAAAGTGTAGCTCAGATTTAGCAGTTTAGAGAGACTTCTGGTTCCAGGCAGGACACCATTCCTCCCATGCACTCTCATAACTAAAAGAATCCTGGATATAATACAACAAATAAGCAAAGAAAAATACTTAAAGGTAGAAAAAAGTAGACTGCCTGGAAGCCTTCACTGTAGGAAACAGGAGGACAGTGACTTCTGAGTTTCCTTGTTGTCCTTCACACATCCTGGACAAGACACTATAAACATCCCCAGGCCAAAACCACAAACAGGCACAGACAAAAAATAAAAGACAAGAAAAAGCACATTTCCCTAAACCAAAGGACCCAGAAAAGAGTGGTTTAACAATAGGACACCTTCTTAGCAATATCTGTCTATTCCAGATAAACACCAATGGCAAAGCCCCTCTGCTTCTCCACACTTCCCAGAGTCTTCCACCCTGCCCTTCCCTGCCCCATGGAAGCAGGAGAAATGGCTTTGATTTCCCCTTCTGGTATTGTTAGGAGCAGGACAGAGCAGGAAGCAAATCCTCTATCCCAGATCCCTTCCACCTCTTTCCTGTTAGTAGGGTGATGTCAGTGGGGCTGAGCAGTGAGCTAACGCTTTGAATCCCCTTGTTGTCAGTCAATGCTTGTCCAGAGCTGAATAAAGCAGAGCCAGTCAGTGCTCCTCCCCCACTGCCCAAGGATATCAGCAGGACACAGTGGAGAGAAGAGGCTTCAAACCCATCTGGCATCAGCGAAAATGTATAAAGCTAAGTAAGGTGGAACTAGTTGGTGTTTCACTCCCTCCTTCCATCCCATCACTAAGTGTCACTGGGGATCTGAGCATAATTACACTCCAATGAGGCAGTGCAATTCCATGCTCACTATTGTTGGGAAGCATTCTATGGGATTGAGAGGGAGCTGAACTTCTACCCCCTCCTTCTGCAAAGAGTCACCAATTAGTCAGCACTCCACTTTTCTTGAGGTGATTGATGGAATGCAGCAGAAAGCAAAAAATTCATACCCACTTTGTCCTTAAACTACACCTTAAGAGGGTGAAAACTGGGTTAAAAAAAAAAGATTAAATAGGATCCAGAGTATTATGGCATAATAATGCAAATAGCTAGGATACAATAGAAAACCATTCATCAAAACAAGAACCAGGAAAATTACAATTTGAATGAGAAGAGAAATCAACAGGCACAAATACCAGGATGAATCAGACTTTGGAATAATCTGAAGAGAATTTTAGAAAAATTATGAATTCTTCAAGTAAAAAAAGAAAGCCTCAGCACAGAAGTAGACGTTGTAAAAAGAATCATAGAAATTACAGAACTAAAAGATAGATTAACTATAAGAAAATTCTTACTTCATAGGTTCAATAGAAGAGCGGAGATGACAGAAGACAGACTCAGTGAACTTGAGGACTGATACATAGAATTCACCCAATCTGAACAACAGCAAGAAAATGGAACAAAAAGAAATGCAGAGTCTCCAACATCTGTGTGACAGTAACCAAAGTTCCAACATTCATATTATTGGAGTTCCAGAAGTGGGGGCAGGGCGTTGTCAGGGTAACACAACTGCAAGTGCTGCCAAGGTCAGAAAGAGAGTGGACACTGGATCCCCCACTC